ATTATCTTGGAAACTATATTTCGGAAATACCCTTAAACCCAGGAGAAAGAGGGAAAGACCACAAATGGTAAAGCAGGGGGGAAAAGAACATGGAAGGATGAAATTTGGCCCTACTTTTTCCCAAATTGCCCTCAAACCCTAACTGATGGTAGTATATGGTTGAGATTAAAATAACAAATCTTAACAAAGGGTAGAAAAGTAAAACAAAGAAATATCCCCTTCAACTTTTAGACGAAAGGGTTTTATTGGTTCAGTAAGCTCAGTTCATAACTCTGAATGCAATATAACTTTTAATCATTCTAAATATCTAACCTAGCACATTTGTAGCGAGTATAGTGCCCCACCATTTGGAAGCAAAAATTATTATCATAACCTTTTGGCTGCTCAAGTAGTCGCATGATATATTATTATGCACACCTCTTTTCAAGAACTTGGAAGTCTCTTATAATATCTATCTTTAACAGGAGAAGGTTTGGTTCAGTGCTTGATATTGTTCCCCTGGCTGATTCTGTGACGAAGTTGACAGCACGGTGTGAGCTATGTGGTCGTCCTGCTCACTTTACCCTGAGGAAGACTGAACAAATGGAAACGGAACTCATCGGGGGAGCTGAGGTTTATATGCCTGTATGTAGACAGCATTATGTAAATGGGCAAGTTGTTATTGAAGCTGCAAGGCTTGTCTTGGAATCTAAGAAGGAATTACTCGAAGTTTACTCTGAGACAGTAGCTCCTTAATCAAGTTTGTAATTCCTTGCTTGAGCTTTTACAGTACTATTGGTACTCTTTTATCCTTTCATGTTGTCACTTGTACTTACTGTTCTTAAGAACTATATGGACACCTAAATATTGTATTTGCTTTAGATTAATGGTTAAGTTGTATGGACAAAAATTTCAATTCATCTCGTCATATTTGTGGATGCCAACTTTACCATCAATCTATCTTGGTTACTACTATTCAATTGTTACAAACAATTTTCATCTATTGAAAGAGCAAAATTCAGATGAAATTTGATATGGTTGTAGACTTGTAACACCAAATATCAAACATTCCCAATCATGAGCTTGGTAGTTTGATTGTTGATGGCTATAACGTTGTAGTTTTATGATTTTATTTTCAGATGCACACATCCCTTACCACTAAATGTGTAGCAAAAGTAATTTGTAGTTTACCAATCCTGGTGTTTTTCCTCTTTAAGAAATGTTTTCTGTATGAGGTTATTATAAAAAGATCACTTCTTGCTACCTTCTCCGACAAAAAAATTTATACCTTTGCCCCTGTTCTGCTCTTCTACACAACTCAAAACAACTGTAGAAAATTATTCAAATCTGTGATCTTGAAGCCATTAGTTGTCGTGCCCCCAATCGAATCAGACTAGCGATCTACAGAGTAAGGCATTGTTATAACAGATCCTTTGTTCATATTTACATTAGTAGATATGGGAAATCTGGGTTGGCTGGGGCTGCACTCGGGGTTCTTGTCGAAATGACCAAAGTGTTTTGACTGTGTTCCCACCCTTTGATCTTATAATGTGGTTTCAGATATCTTGGTTCGAGAGTGTTTCTATGAAATGGCAACTAATTTGTTCTTTAAGGATACAAAGCCATGCATGCTTTTTATAACGATGAAGGCACTGCCTGCAGTGAATAAGGTAAAGTTTGCATGCTCACATATTAAGGAATGGTGAGGTACAGCTGTGTTCAGGAAGTGCTCTGCTCTCCTTAAGGAAAATAGAGTAGCAAAAACCCCAAGGTTTTTGGAGGAGATATCAGGATGTTTAATGATGTTATGGACTTATAAGTTTACTGAGAATACTCAATTCAGGATTTACATCTGGTGCTTTGACTTTTGGAGTTCTAGAATGGTTATGTATGAAATTTATAGTGGATGAAGCAAGGACATTTTTGCAGAAATAATGTAAGAAAGGTGAACAAGCTGACATAACTTTTTTGAATGAAGTGTTAAAACTAAATAGGCGGTCTTGGTTAAAAGCGTGATTAACGGATATGTAAAAGAGGGAGACTACCAGTGGAAGAGCTTTGTGACAAGATGTTGTTGAGTGGGGTGTCGTAGGTCAGGTATGTATATACAAACTTCATTTGTTCGCCCTTTTTTTTGATGAGATACTGTTTTAAGTTTTATGAAGCAACTTCTGGTTTATGAGTGAACAATATCCAAACTGGTTGTTTCTACTTGGGAAGGCTGCAAGGAAGTTTTAAATATTTATGATGCTTCTCTTGCTCTATTCTGTGAACTTGATTTATATACCTGCAATATATTTCTAATTCATAACGTTTTAGACTGATTGGTGCCATCCACGTTTATTGCTTTTAAATATTACCGAAACAGCAAAATTTGCCCTTGTTCTTTTCTAAGAAAGATAATATTATTCGTTTAGATTATGAAGTGACAGGCATTTCAGCCATGAAAATGGAAAATTCTTCCAGCTAGTTTCTGAAACATTCTAAATCACAGAACCTTTCACATGCACACACCCAAAAAAAAAAGGAGATCTAGCATGTATTACAAGCATATCTACACAGTAATTTGCTTATATATATTGGGAGATCAGGAATCAAATTACTAACTGTTTTGATACAAAACATGCATTCCTTTTCTATTTATCAGTTTTAACTGTTGTACATTTGTTGCAGGGGTTTGCCTTCACAAGCAAGCGAGGTGCTTGAAACACCAGAAGCAGCTTTCTTAATCTTAGATTTCCCATTCCCTAACATATTTATTTTCCTCAAAATCTTCAATATTCTACTTGCATATTTCCTCTGAGAAGCCCAACTCAAACTGATACAACTATTAACGTGGCGAAGTGATTTTCTTTTTTTAACGACAGTTTTCCCCTCTAATCCAATCACTCTAAAGCTCATGCTATCAGTACCCTTGGGTACATTTTTCATTAGGCTTTGCTTAATTGACACAAGCTCCTGTTCTAGAGCCTGAAGCCTAAAGCTCGTGGACTCGTAATCTTCTTTACTGAAATCTGATCTTTTTGTTGAACTATCTTTTTGCAGAAAAGACCCTAGAGGTGGGCCTATATTTGTTGCCCTCTCAAATGGGCTTTCTTCAAGATTCTGGCTTCTGGGAATTTGACATCTTGAGCTTGAAAGACTTCCAGAGAATTCTCCACAGTGAATATACCTGAAAGAATCTGAGCACTCCTTGAATGCTTGGTGAGTGTGTAATTGCTGAACAAACAGTGCTTGAACTATTAGTCTCAGTGGCATTTGCTCATTTTGTACTGCTTCAATGCATATGTCTTGCGATAATTTCTGACAATTGAGGTATTTACATACAGATGTTTTTTCTTCACTTGACAATTGCGGATGTTCCTAAGAAAAATAGCAGTATCTCAGTTCAACAACATTTTGGGAAGAATTGAAAGAGGTAAGAAATTTAGAATTATGTTTAAAATTTTACCATTAAGTAGGTGTCTAATGCTTTGTATAGATGATCATGTGTTTCTCTGTCGGCCATCGGTATAATTTCAATGAGTTCCATGAATCTTGCTGGCTCAAGCTTTGGATCCATAGCAATTTGGCAAAGATATCTATCCCATAATTCTGCTACAACGTAGCCTTCTTCATTCTTAGCGGCCATGTTGATCATCACTATTTTTTTCATTGCTTCAAATTCTGGGGTGGAGGTAATAAAATCAACACTTTTTTCAGGTAAGAGAAAGTCTTCAACCTGTGCTAAGTGTAAAAGAGATGCAATTTCATTCTGTAACTTTATGTTGCTCTCATTGCTCACTTTCAGGCTCATCGATCGTGATAACAAAGAGAAATAGAATGATGCAGGGATCACTCTACTACCTTTTTCGCCCATGGGAAGAAGCTCAAGGATTCCTTGTAAAATCTCTGAAATTCTACTATTAACATCATTATATTCATCTTTTAAATCAGAATTCTCCCAAAATTTATGAGTCTTCTCTGACAGCACCCATTTATTTGCATAGAACACAACTAAGGGACTCACATATTTCTCCTTCATACCTTGCCTCCTCAACGAACTTATAATTCTCTGGAAGAATACGAATGGTAAAGCTATTAGATCTTTAATCCACAGGTCTCGACCTGCCATCTCCTTCACCAATTCGGAGCTCCAATTGTGACCTGTTAAGGCCTGAAGAGACGTTACAGGCCAATCTTTCTTATGCTCAGGGTCTAAAATCTCCATACAAGCCATAAAAGCTAGAGACTCAACACATCTACTCACAATTAAAAGCTCCTCAGCCCATGGAAGCAAAGTCTGGCATTTTTGGAGTACTATTAAAGTATCATCCCAGCTCTGAAGCACTACTTGGTTTATGTATAAGTCTGTCCTCTCACACAAGGAAAAATCTCCAGTCATCTCGAGAATCTTCGATGCACATCGGAGTGCTCCGATGTTAAAAGGGTCAAAAGGGAATGAGGAATTGTAGCAGAAAAGTGCAACCATTTCGAACGTCTCCGAACCTCCTGGAAAATTCTCTGGAAGCTCGACAGAAGACAAATCGACTAGTTTTCTTTTGAAGTATCCACTCTTTGATACCAGAGGTAACTGCACAAAACAGTAGGTTAAATATCATGTAACTCAAAAATTTATCGGTCAGTAGTCTAAAAGCTTATTTTTATTACCTTATGAAGGCTGAAGATTTTGCCACCAACACTGACATGGATTGATGCTGGCAAGCCGGTCTCCAAGCTCCTAAAAGAACCGGGAAAAAAAGGAAAATTTTGCTTAAAGCTATGAACAAATAGAGAAGCTTATTTCTTGTTTATGTACTATAAAGGAGTTACCATGCTATTATCTTCTTCTTGAGCAAAGCTCCAGTGTTCGGGCTTGCGAAAGGGCTTATTGCCTTCGTTGATGCTGAGTCCATTGCAATTCAAAGAGTTTCGACGAGGAGAGCTTTGGACATGAAGAAAAGCAATGAAACTTGTTGGTGGAGGGAAGTGAAGGTTAGCTAAGCTTTGAAGTAACTTGTTTTTTAGCCTTTGGATCACACAAAACACATTATTGATATATTATTAATAGAAATTGGAGAAGGGGACAAATGCACGAGGATACAGTAAATGAGAGCGCACGAATGGGGTTGAATCCTATTTTTGAGGCTTAGAATTCGGAGACTTCTGTAGAATTTTTCTTGAAGATAGGGAATTTTCTTCCTACGGTGAGGTTTCCTTATTGTTACCGCAGGTGATCAGAGTCAAAGAACGTGTTTTTTAATAGTTATAATTTTGTTGCGTGTAACGCCCGGGACGGCACGGCTTGAGAAAATTTGCGGGGGTGTTAATAATTTTTTAATTTAGTTAACTATTTTATTTGTTTATTTTTGGAGGAAACGACTTTGTTTCCGAGCAACCAACCTTCTCAATTTTCAACACGGAGTGATCGGCTAATTCTCGTGCAGAATGATGCAAGGAATTTGAAGCCAATTTTGATTGGAAGACAGATGGTACTTTTAGTCGTTTTCCTTTTTTTTTTGGGAACATTTTACGAACACCCCCTGAGCTTTAAGGAAATTTGCCTAAACCACTGTGACTTTGTAAATCCTAAAACCCTCCTTGGATTTGAGAGTTTCCACGGAGCCCCATGAATAATTAATACAGAGCAGAGCATCACACGTGCGAATCGGATTGTTCTACTTCTTATTTTCCTCTGTATAGATCAAAACAGTCAGCTCACATATAAACTGTTCCACTAGAGTTAATTTGTACTTCTACACTTTGAGGGTTAATCACTAACAGAGTTAAAACAAAATATTTAAAGTAGTCTTTCAAAAATAGAGGGATGAGAATTAAAAGTATTGACAAAATTTTATTCGGTTTTTCTATAGAGTGTCCATGGGCACTCTATAAGAGAGGAGAGAGATAGAGAGAAATGAATTAGGTACAAAAATTAATACAAATCATGAGGGCTTATGAGCTATTCATTTCTCTCTATCTCTCTCTTCTATTATATAGTGCACATGGCACTCTATAGAAAAACCGAATTTTATTTGGTGAGGAGAAACTTGTTCTTGTTGGTCATGAGAGGAGCATGTGACACGTTCAAATTACTAGCGTCAGTCATGGTGGAAAAACACGATAGAAGTTTAGGAGGGTTTTGTAGGATTTATAAACTTCAAGGGGTTTCATGCAACAAACCCAGGTTTTTCGGGGATTTTTGTGAAACTTAATTACCACTTTTCTCTATTCTAATGTGGCCTAACCTATATGCCACCTAACAACTTAGAATTTGGGTTGGACATTTTTGTAGGTTTCGGGTCCATGCGTCTCTCTTTAAGGATTGAGATGGATTCAACAATTTGATAATCTAATCTGATTTTTTTTTTAGTTTTTTGGACGATTAGTTTTCGATAAATTTACGAGGTTTTGTTCCAAGGACTTGTTCTAAACAATTACTTTGTGTATTAAGTGTGATCCTGATATCATACCTAGAGGTTCTCATCTTTAATGGTGGAGTGCGCAATTAGGCTGAGAGGGATGGGGGAAGGGGTTCCTCAAAAATGAAAATTTTAAAGAAAATAATATTGAAGGATTAGTTTTATCATGATATCTATATTTCCTTTTCACTTTTTTAATTATCAAATAACTGAAATCACTAAAAGTATAAACATAACGATAATTGATGGATAATATTGATATATTAGTTTTCTTTTCTTTACTTTCAAGAACAACTTATTTGCAAACTATCAGTTTTTTTCGAACTTGACTTTCACACTTCAGATCGACTGCCAAACATCATTGACCTAGTTTCCATGTGAAAACAGTTATCTTTAGTTTTTTTTTATAAATATTTAAAATTGTATCTATCATACGTAATTAAGAGAATAATGGACAACACCCTAATTAATAAAGGATGGTAAAACTACAAGTTTTATCTGCTTATCTTTTGGTCTAATGATTACATATAAAATAGTCTACTAGAATGGTCTTTATCCCATTGGACTAAGATAAATATACCTCTTTTATTCAATTTTAATATACATGATAAATTTATTAATTAAATATCAATGACATTGCGTTCTTGTAAGGGATTGATAACACCTTATACCTTAAGTTCCTACTGGTAGAGGAATGTTTTAGGCATAACAAATCTAGTAAAATACTAAACCAGAGAAATTAATGACACTAGCCACGAGATATCATCAAATTGTCGTGAGAATTTCAAGTTTCTTATTGAGATTTGCAATAGATTAATATATTAGATAAGTAATAACCCAGTCAAGCTTAGTTCTCAAGTCTAAACCCACAGTTTTATTTAGGTTCTTTTGATTTGTTAATTTGAGGATTGATACTGACACTCCACCATCAATAGGAGATATATGTCGTAGTCTAAACTCAAGAGTTGCAGCTTGAATATATTGGACGCAGCCTTTTATTTCAGAGCAATTAATAAATGTAGTTGCAATCGTAGTCATAATACATCTTCACTAGTAGTAAGACAAGTTGCACGGATTTGAACGTCATCTCAGTTGCAATCTTTTTGAACCGCAAATAAGATTTAAGTTATAACACTAAATTGCAACAAAACAGAAGGGGGAAAACTTGAAACCCATAACAAATGCATGCAATTACAATTTTCCGTTCAAATGATAAAAAAAAAACTGAATCATAAAACCATAAATAAACTTTATATGATAACAATTGTATGCAAAGAGTTTTTAAATAACAGTTGTAGTTGCAATCAACCAAAATGGTCTGCAAATAGTTGAAATGTGCATAAAAGTTGGTTAAGTTCAGGAAAAAAAAAAGCCTCAACTCTGGATGATTGTCAGATAGCCCATAACAACCAAAATATCAAAAAACCCTGTTGTAGAGGTTATAAGAAAATTCCTTTAAATGCAGGATTTTATCAGCAAACCCTTTTTAACTTTAAGATTATACCACAAAGCCCCTCCTAACAAGCGTTAATTGTAATTTTCACATAAGTGGACAAAATTATGCAGGAGAATATTTTTGCGATTGAAAATCGTGGTTCATGCTTTTATAGGGGGTTTTATGAAAATAAATCTTAAACCTAAAGGATAGTTTCTAACTGTATGTAGGAAAAATTGCAAAGAAGAGAATAAAGAAAATTGACTTGGATTTCTTTGATCTCAATTACAACTTGATTACAAAAGAGAGTAAAACGAATTTGGTTTTCCCCTTTGTTTAAAACTGGGTTCTTCACGGTGGCGATGGAGTGCCTCCCTAGAATGCTCGCGTCGAGTTTGCTCTCCGTTGACGATCCGCACGTCTTGATTCACTGGAACAATGTCTTCTCCTCACGATTTGACGTTGTGGAGAACTTGCGTGGCAAGTTTGAGAACTCAGAACGAGTTTAGAAGAACTCTGTAAAAGAGTTGATTTGAACCGAAGATCGGTTAATAAGCCAAGGCTAGAGGCTCCCTGTTGCTGAAGTTGAAGATGATCTTCGTTGGAAGATGGTGCCGATCTCCTCAAAAGCCTGTCTCCAGTGGTCGATCCAAGCCAATCAAAAATCCCACCATCTGCTTATCTTTTGGTCTAATGATTACATATAAAATAGTCTACTAGAATGGTCTTTATCCCATTGGACTAAGATAAATATACCTCTTTTATTCAATTTTAATATACATGATAAATTTATTAATTAAATATCAATGACATTGCGTTCTTGTAAGGGATTGATAACACCTTATACCTTAAGTTCCTACTGGTAGAGGAATGTTTTAGGCATAACAAATCTAGTAAAATACTAAACCAGAGAAATTAATGACACTAGCCACGAGATATCATCAAATTGTCGTGAGAATTTCAAGTTTCTTATTGAGATTTGCAATAGATTAATATATTAGATAAGTAATAACCCAGTCAAGCTTAGTTCTCAAGTCTAAACCCACAGTTTTATTTAGGTTCTTTTGATTTGTTAATTTGAGGATTGATACTGACACTCCACCATCAATAGGAGATATATGTCGTAGTCTAAACTCAAGAGTTGCAGCTTGAATATATTGGACGCAGCCTTTTATTTCAGAGCAATTAATAAATGTAGTTGCAATCGTAGTCATAATACATCTTCACTAGTAGTAAGACAAGTTGCACGGATTTGAACGTCATCTCAGTTGCAATCTTTTTGAACCGCAAATAAGATTTAAGTTATAACACTAAATTGCAACAAAACAGAAGGGGGAAAACTTGAAACCCATAACAAATGCATGCAATTACAATTTTCCGTTCAAATGATAAAAAAAAAACTGAATCATAAAACCATAAATAAACTTTATATGATAACAATTGTATGCAAAGAGTTTTTAAATAACAGTTGTAGTTGCAATCAACCAAAATGGTCTGCAAATAGTTGAAATGTGCATAAAAGTTGGTTAAGTTCAGGAAAAAAAAAAGCCTCAACTCTGGATGATTGTCAGATAGCCCATAACAACCAAAATATCAAAAAACCCTGTTGTAGAGGTTATAAGAAAATTCCTTTAAATGCAGGATTTTATCAGCAAACCCTTTTTAACTTTAAGATTATACCACAAAGCCCCTCCTAACAAGCGTTAATTGTAATTTTCACATAAGTGGACAAAATTATGCAGGAGAATATTTTTGCGATTGAAAATCGTGGTTCATGCTTTTATAGGGGGTTTTATGAAAATAAATCTTAACCACCCCTTCTTCGTCACAGAAGCTAATCCCCAGCAGAATAGTTTCTAACTGTATGTAGGAAAAATTGCAAAGAAGAGAATAAAGAAAATTGACTTGGATTTCTTTGATCTCAATTACAACTTGATTACAAAAGAGAGTAAAACGAATTTGGTTTTCCCCTTTGTTCCCCGAATGCTTGCGTCGAGTTTGCTCTCCGTTGACGATCCGCACGTCTTGATTCACTGGAACGATGTCTTCTCCTCACGATTTGACGTTGTGGAGAACTTGCGTGGCAAGTTTGAGAACTCAGAACGAGTTTAGAAGAACTCTGTAAAAGAGTTGATTTGAACCGAAGATCGGTTAATAAGCCAAGGCTAGAGGCTCCCTGTTGCTGAAGTTGAAGATGATCTTCGTTGGAAGATGGTGCCGATCTCCTCAAAAGCCTGTCTCCAGTGGTCGATCCAAGCCAATCAAAAATCCCACCGAACCCTTAACTCAGTTGAGTTTGTTCGCTTTTATAGGGGGATAAGAGGTTGTAACTGCCCTCTAAATCCGCTCCTAAGTGGGCGAAAATCCCTCAGAACGTGGGATAACGGTTTTGAGGCCGTTCGGCTTGTGTTTGAACAAGTCAAAAGGATTGAGACGCGAGGTTGGGTGTTGGCTGAACATTGATGAACGCGAGGGTCGCTCGCGTTTTGGTTTGTTGTAGCTTAGAAACGCGGGGGTCGGTGTTGGCTGGACCCCTACGAACGCGAGGGTCGCTCACGTTTCGCCTGTTGTAACGCGGATCCGACTCTGGCGTTTTGATGCTGTGACGCGGGGTTCGACCCTGGCGTTTTGATGTTGTAACGCGGGTTTCGACCCTGGCGTTTTGATGTTGTAACGCGGGTTTCGACCCTGGCGTTTTGATGTTGTAACGCGGGTTCGACCCTGGCATTTTGATGTTGTAACGCGGGGTTCGACCCTGGCG